ACCCCAACGTCCCTTGGGGTGCCCTAGCATCACCCCTCCCCACCTTTCCTCTCCGTCAGATGACATGAGAGAAAGTGAGCCCATAAAACAGGGAACCAGGTATGACTATGCCAGAGCCCCGCGAGGACGCGCCCGAGAACCAGGGGAGCAGTGAGCGGCCTCAGAGCAACTGGACAGAACGTGCCCGAGTCCTTGCCTGTGCAGCCGCCCCTGGGGACCTCAGGGCGCCCTGAGACCGTGGCTGTGGTCAGGTTCTCATCTAGAACTTCCACACAGGATTTGGTCTCTTAAAGAACAGCAGCTCGGCAAGAGCAAATCTGAGGGTGCGCCGAGGGAAGAGAGAAGAAAGTTGAAGCGGGGCGCGGAGCAAACACAGGCGCTCAGGGCAGCGGGACCTGCGGCGTGTAGCGCGGACCTGAGAGCGCGCTCCTCACGGCCCGGGAGGTTTCACCGTGCCGCTGAGCACAGGAGGGCAAGGACTTGAACGCTATGCTTCAGAGCGGGATCTTGCAAAGCGGCACTTAGAACAGTTCTGAGAGCCTCCTGGTTAAAAACAGCAGCTGAAATACGTTTACTTCCACTTTCTCCCAAGCAAAAGGATTAAAAAAAATTTAAGCTGCACCGAACAAAGAGAACTAAGAGGAAACAAAAATCTGGAAGCTGAGAACGGAGGGCCAAATCCTAACCCTTCTCGTTCATCTGAAGGAGCCCCCACGGCAGCAAGGAAGGCCCTGAAGGACCCCTGCTGGTGCCTAAAGCCCCTGAGCTCATAAGCCACTGGGAGTGGGAGGGAGGGAAGGACTTAAACACAAAGATTGGCCAGAATCTGCCAAGGGAGTACTGGGTCCCTGGATTCCCGCCCCAACTCTGAGTAGCCTAGCACCTCCCACTCCCAACCCCACTGAAGACCAGGAGCCTCCATCTTCAGAGAGGGCAGCACAGAGGGCGTCTGGACAGAGGGATGCCAGGGGCGGGAGCATCTTTTAAAACCCGAGGGACTAAGTAAAAGCTTATCTTTATTTCTGTATTCAACTCCCATAAACTCTGCTCCCTTCAGGCCAGAGAGTAGAAGGCTGTTCTCTCAGGAACCTGAGGTGTGAAAGAAAAAAGCCCCAAACGAGGGTCCCCTAACAAAAAGGCCAGTGAGCGCCCCACATGCTGAGACCCACACCAGCAGCTCTGTGCATGAGGGTGCAGACTGTCACTCAGTCTAATGCCTCAGCTCAAGTAGCAACTCAGGGGCAGGAAACACATTTACAGGGAAAAGCCTCTAATGTAACAGAAGTCAAAACAAAGAGAAAAGAATGTGGAAGAAACAAATTCCGCAGAGAAGCAAAAGCTAAAATAAACATTCCCCCATCATTAACAGTCTGAGAAGAAAGTTAGTAAGTCCAGGAAACAAATAGTGTATTAACTTAAACAATATATGATAGTGGAAACAAAAAAGCCAATAAAACAACTGGAAGATAAAGTTGAGAAAAATCTCCCAGAACCTAGATTGTAAAAGCAAGCAAACAAGGCAGAAATGGAAACTAGAAGGTGGACAAGAGCTGGCTCCTCCACAGCGCAGAGCTGCACTTCCAGCCCCCGCCTCTAGATGGGGCCATGGGACTGGCTCTGGCTAAAGGAGCCTGCGCATCACTCAGGCCTCGGAGGTTAGCAAGACTTCAGAGTTCCTCTCTCCCTGGGGAAGTAACTCTGGGCCTCCAGGGGATAAAGATGAGGGAGTCAGAAGACGAAGGGGTCTGGGCCTCTGAGTCACCTCTTGGGATTGCTGTACAAGCAAAAATATGGACACTCAACTTCATGTGGGCAAGAAGTCAACTCCATACGTTAAACCACTGAGATCTGGGGGAGCTGAGAGAGCAGTTAACTCACTCTAATAAAGAGAAAAGAGGACACGTAGAGGAAAGGCCGAGATCTGACATCTGAATAATAAGAATATTAAAAGTGAGGACAGAAAAAAAACTAAAATAAAACAGATGTTAAGTCATTTTTTAAAAAATCAATGAAATTTCTCAGAACTGCAGGATGTAGTTTATATCCTGAAAGGCTCCCATTATCTGCTTGATGGTGGGGATGGAAAAAGATCCCTCTGGGGAGTCAGAGCCTGAGCAGGGGCAGGAGGCGTCCATGAGGGGAAGCCTGACAGGGGAGAGGAGGCTTCTGCACAGAGGAGGAGGAGGAGATGGGAAATTTGGTAATTCATAAGCGTGGGATCAAGTAAGTAAACTTGGGGGCCAGACTTCTCACCATTGAAAAGGGAGTAACAAATACAGAAAGGGAGAAAATTAGAATGAACCTTGTAGTTCTTTTAAAACACTGCCCCCAAACTCTTTACTGAGAGCTGGAATCTATGACCACCCTGTGCCACTCCACTGCCCCCAATCCAGAGTCTGGGCTCTGCCACTGTTGACCAGTAACATTAAGATGGAAGCCATGTCCTGCCAGTTTCCAGGACACGTTCTTGGGCCCAGCCACCAGGATGTGAGGAAGCCCTCCCTGCACGGAGAGGCCGTTACATGTAAGTATCCAGTCAGCCCCAGCTGGGGTCCCAGCTGACAGCCAGCACCAAGCACTAGATGTGCGGACTGGAGACGCCTCATGACACTGCCTTCAGCTGATGAGTCACTTTGTGTCGACCCATCCCTAGCCCTCGAGTCTTTTCAGCTAGAGGCCCGGATGTTGTAGCGCAAAGACAAGCTATCCCTGCTCCCTACCCTCCGTGCGGATCCAAACTGCTGAGACTGTCCCTGAGCGTAACAAAATGGTTATGTCTTGTGTCAGTAAATTTTGGTGTGGTTTGTTATTAGAACTGAAATTGGAGACAGTGTGAACGCATGGATTTCAATATAGACAAATAGAAATACAGAGATCAATGTATCTATATATGTATACACACATGGATATACACGTATATATACGTGTGTGTGTGTGTGTGTGTCACTAGTTCTGACCACTCAGAGGGCCTGCCTGGGACCAGTGACACTGCAATAGCAATGAAGACACTAAGCACCCAGATCCTGGCTTCTAAGTATCCTTTCCACTAAAAGGAACCGTTTTTCCACCACCGGGGTCCATAGCCTGACATCCGTGACTGGATCCCCTTGCAGTAAAAGACATTATTTGGACAAGTGGCAAAGCTTGAATGCAGTCTTGAGTTTTGGAAAGTGTGTGTATGTTAATTTCCTGATTTTGGTGGTTGTATTGTGTTTCTGTAGGAGAACGTACTTGTTTGTAGGAAATACATGTCCCACACTGTAGAGGGTCCTCATATTCAAAAGAACCCTGTGAGTGAGCAACAAACAAGACCTATAGGCCTCATGTCTTGAGGACTTAAACTCCCCAAATCAGTGTCTGTACTAAACAGAAATCTAAATTTGTCATGTGGTTGTAAGACACACATTGCTATGAAGTATTTACAGTTTAAACATTCTTAATAAATGATTTTTAAGACACCTGAAGCCTGATGAATTAGTTATGTAACACTTGACCTCAAGCCTCACAGTAGTAGAAACACTGGCGATTTCAAACATTCAGAGAAACCTCAGCAGGTGAAGCGAAGGGGCTGTGGCCACTTGGAAGCGCCCTGAACGCAAGCAGCAAGGATGGCTGACTTGGCCAGGCCCCGAGGGGACACAGAGGAGAGGCGGTTACCCGGGGGCTGGCCTCTTCTGAGGGAGGCGGCTGGGCGGCAGGGGCGGCGGGGCTTTGCCGGGTGGGAGCCCGGGCTGGGCCGGCTTGCTCTGCTGGCTCAGGGCCTCCAGCACACTGGGCGTCTTGGCTACCGGAGGGGGCGGCGTGGGAGCCAGGGGATCTGAGGAGAGAGAAAAGGAGACAGAAACACAGGGTCAGCCTCAGGCGTCCCATTCCCAGCCTTCTCACCGGAGGCTCTTCCGACAAAGGCTTCCTTTTTCCTTTCGCTATTTCCTAAGGAAAAAAACCTACTTTCATAGAAGATTTTTCCGAAAACAGTATGGGCAGGAAGGCCTTCCAAGCCTCCAGTTAGGATTAAAATGCTTTTATGAGCTTGTGAGAATTTTCTCAGCTGGCATCCCCTGTGGGGAGGTGAACCTGGTTTTCTGCTCTCCCGGAGACCTGCAGGAGCCCCGGGCCGGGTCTGCCGCCCGTCCTGCCCCTGGGTGCCCCACGTCCCGGCTGCCAGCGGGTCAGTAACTTGGTAACGGCTCCCAACTCATGAGGATGAAAAGCTTCTTATTCTCTGCATTTTACAGGGGAGGAGGCCGAGGCTTCACCAAGGGCGCAGAGCTGGTGAGACACCGAGCTGGGCCTCAAGCCCACGCGTCCTTCCTCGTTCTCCCCGAGAAGCGTCAGTTCGCTCCCGGAGTGTCCAGCATTAGCATCTCGTGGTCCGTGTTGAGTGGCAGCCTGCCTCGGGCTCTGGACTGGAGGTGGATACCTAGGGCGAGCAGTGGATACCTGGGACAGCACTGGCTGACCAAGACAGGGTCCAGTTTAGTCTCTTTTTTCATCCTTGTTTCCTTTTTCTATTTTAGAGAAAAAGTCAAAAGGCAGACTCTTGCTTGCAAATCTACAGCCCCAGGGAGGCCAGACTGAGAGGCAGGAAAGTGGGCTTCTGAGACCTGCCAGGTGCCCACTTGCTGTCTGACTTGGGTGTGCCTGAGCTGATGCCCCCTCTGGAAGACCCTCCCAGACACAGCTTCCTGCTCTGCCGCCAGCGTACTTACTGTGGCTAGGGCTGGCTTCTTTCACCTCAGCTTAGGTCGAGGAAGCCAGGGAAAGCCCAGGGAAACCCCCAGTGCCCTCCACGCAACCCCAGAGATGCTGGAGCCCCTCCCTCCTACGGCTGATGCAGGAGCAGGAAGGAGACGCAGCACCCGGGGCTCACCCTCTGGTCCAGCCGACACCCCTGCTCGGCCGCTGGAATGAAGCCCCTCCCCCGGCCCTCCCTGGGTGCTGGGACACTCACCCACATACAGACGCTGAAGGGGGACACCAACCAGACTACAATCCACAGGAGTGTGCCCAAATACTGAGAACCACCGAACAGCCAAAGGAAAGGAAGCCCCAGACAATGTGTGAAAGAAATGTTGCTGAAGTGCTTGGAAGACAGAGGGCAAGAGTGAGCAGGCCCCCCGGTGGGTGCGGCACAGACAGGAGTTTGCGGCTGGGGAGGAGGTGGCGGCCACAGGCCTCCAAGTGGCGCTGGACACCGGGCCCCAGGCTCTCTCCCACGCGGCTGCCAGAAGACCCCCCAGCCATCCGATCTACAAAACCCAATGGCAAGAAAGGAAAAAGGAAAAAAAACGTACTGGTGGATGTCACGCGGAGAGGGGGCAGCGGTGGATGGACAGCTGGCGGATCTGACGAAGATCGCTGCCTGCTTACACCGTCCACACTTACAGAGTTTGTCTTCCACAGGGCGTTAGCTGAGGAGGCTGGCTGAACTGCACACGCACGCACATGCACACGCACGCACACGCAGGCATGCACACATGCACGCGCACAGAACAAAAAACAGAAACAGAACACTGCATTATTGATCCTCTCCCCTGTAAAATGGTACACATGACCCTTCTACAATAGCAGTAAGACCACAAATAGAACACTGATTTTTAAAATTTTTGTTTCTGGTATCTGCAAGACTGATACCGATACACACTGAACCAATGATGTTTTGGGAGAATTCCTAGCTGGTTTTCTGAATCTTACAGATTTTCTTTCTCAAAAATACCACTTGAAGAGGGAAATGACAACCACAGTGACCCTCCTGAGCGCTGCTCTCGGGAATGGGACACCTGCCCGTCTCTATCCATTTCCAGTCCTGCCCACAGGGCTACCACCCTGCACAGGGGCACGCCCGTCCTCAGACAGAGCACGTGGAGAGAAGGGTGCAAATCTAAGACGTCAGGTGAAGGGCTCTCTTTCCATCTCCTGCAGAAATGTTTCTGGCTGGAAGTCGATGCAGGGGACACACCAGGGAGACAGCACGGCCCTGCTCACAGCCCTCCTCTGCCCCCAGGCCCCAAGCTCCTCCTCAGTGTGCAGCCTCTGCTCAGGGCACAGGGGTGACCCAGTCTGAAGCTATGACGGCCTACCCAGCGGGATGGGCCTGGAGATGACTGCACAGGGCAGGTCTGGGGTCAGAGGGAGCCTTCGCACATCTGCCACGGACAAGGTCCTCCCCGGCGCAGGGCTGGACAACATTGGTGCCGTTCTAATTAATGGGTGGAGATTCCACGTGGACCGAGCGTGGACCAGATGGAGAACAAGGAGGCTCTGTGGGGCCCTGGCAGGGATGAAGTGCAATTCCCATCACCAGAGGAAGAAACGGAGCTAACCGTGGGAGCGGCAGAAGGAAACGGGGAGAAAAAAGCCAACACCCTCTCATTCTAAGACTTTAGGAAAGCAAGAAATAAAGGTGAACAGTTTTCCTTCCTTTCATATGACCCAACAGAGCAAAATAAATCTTTCCTCACATGGTACACAGTCACTAAGGGTAGGGATGACCTAATCATTTAGCTCCAGCCGTACAAGACTAACTCACGCCCTGGGGATGCGGGAGGCGGGCGGGAGGCAGCAGAGATGCGCTGCCCTCATCTGCCTGGGCCCTCCCAGCTGTGGGGCTCATCCCCTCCGACACCCGTGCTCAAGGCCCTCCCTTCAAGCCTGGGCTGCGGGGGCGATGGGCTCTGCGGGGAGGTGAGCGGGTTGGATTCCACAGCCTGCAGCACAGGTTTTGTCCTAAAGGGTGTGGTTCTGTGATCCCAACAACAGGCTCCCGGCCTTCTCTGGGCCCCCCTGAGTGCCAGGGGCAGAGCTGTGTGGAAGGGTCTGCAATGTGCCCAGGGCTGCAGCGGGAGGCGGGGCACAGCCATGCTGCACTGTAAGCATGGACCCCACGTAGGGGCAGATGTGCTCACCGCGCAGCCCGGCCTTGCAGCGCTCACCACCGCTCCCCCGTAGAGACCAGCCAGGGCATAGTGCAACTTGGGACGGACCTGGGGGCCTGCCAGCCGCCTGCAGCAGCCGCGGGACCCGGGCAACATGTCCTGCGGAAGCTTCTGCCCCGCTTCCACAGGAAGCCCCTGACCTTGACTGGCAGCCCCGGCCCAGAGCTGGCCTGGCTACTTGCTGGACCTGCCTTTAAGTTACATAATGACCAGTGGGCCTTCAGTGCTCGGCAAATTACCCAACTCTGGGGGACTCCAGCTTCCATTCTTAGAAAGAGCATCTGTTGAGTGACACTCGCTGTGCCGTGACAGAGTGGCTGCGGCAGGCTCTGGCGAGGTGCGGGCCGGGCTCAGGGCGCGCCTGTGTTTTTACACCCAGCCTGAGCACAGGTCCCCCAGGTCAGCATCTCTCTACCCTTCACTTCACGGGGATCACAGAGAGAGGAGATGACCGCAGCTGTGACAAGCGGCCGAGTGCAGACAAGAGAGAGGTAAAAGGGGCAGAATAAAGGCGAAGCAAGGCGTGAGGGGTGAACAGCAAACAGAAAGGACCAGGAAGAAGGTCAGAGGAAAACGTCCGGGGCCAGAGGCCGGAGCTGACCCACCCGTCTCAGACCTGCCCTCGTGGAGTCCCTGCGCCCCTGAATCACAGATGCCACACCCTTGCCCTGAACAAGAATGAAGTCAAGACACTCTACCTCCATCCTAAGACTGATGGAGTTCATTTAGGAAACAAACAGCAGAAGTACCAAAGACCCCAAATGAAAAACAAACAAACAAACAAATCCACTCTAATGCCGGCCCAAATGTCAGCTAGTTGGGGGCAAAGTGATTACAAACTCCCCAAAGCAAAACCCCGATGCGCTGCTGGACACTGGGGCTGGGGGTGGGGGGTCCCAACAGCTCAGTACCTTTGGCAACGTTCCGTGGGGGGAGCGGGGGGGCGCTGGCGGTGCCAGGGGCTGCAGGCTGGATGGGCGGCGGGCTGCCGCTCAGGATGGCTCCATATGTCTCATTCTGCAAGATGCTGGGCACGAAGCTCCTCTGCTTGTCCTTGGCCAGGCTGGCGGCGTCTCTGGCCAGGGACGCCGCGTTGGACTGCAGCTGGGTGGAGCCCAGCTGGTAGAAGCTGACTGGCCGGTCTTCCCGCCGGCTGGGACTGGGCTGTGGAGGGGTGGTGGGCAAAGCTGCATGAGATGCAGACACGTTGACCTCTTGTCACAGCGTTCAAGCTACCGGTGACGCCCTCAGGTGTGCCATCTCTACCTGGGCATGTTGCCTTTTACTGTCACACAACCCAAAGCTCCCTCTGATTGTGTCTTTTGATGGAAGCACACACACTCACAAAAAAGCCATGACTTACACAAATTTACAATTCTCCATTCTGTGAAGAATTTAAAATATAATCTAGTTCATTTTTACCGTCAGGTATCTCAACCTAGCTCTGTATTTCCCCCTTTATAAGCTTTCTCAGAGGACTAAGCAGTGCAGCTGCTCTGAGCACCCAGCTGCAACGGACCCCCAACAGCCATAAGCCTAAGTCAGGGGCGATCACGGTCTTCTTCCCATAGGCACAGGAACTCCTACGGTTCCTCTAACTTCGGGGCAGCGAACCATGGCCTGTTTCTAGAAATAATGCTTTATTAGAAAGCGGCCTGGGGCACTTACATACTGTCTACAGCTGCTTTCAGGACACCCTGGCAGAGCCGAGGAGCTGCAACAAAGACTAGGATATTTTAGGCCCACAAGCCTGAAGGGTTTATTTAACCTAAAAGTGTTTATTTACTCGGCTTTTCAAGTTTGCTGACCCTGGCTCCACTGGAAGGTCACGTGTATGGAGTCATGACGTGGGTGAATCAGACTGAACTCTATTTCAAATGTCAGCTTCATTGTAACAGCTGTGATCTTGAGCAAATTACTTAACTTTGCTGATCTGACTTCTCATCTGTTAAATGGGTATAGCTTTAACTGCCAGCACAGAGCCCAGAGTGGAGCAGGTAGCAGTATCAGCTGTCACACCCTCCTCCCCTCATGGGACCACCCAACCGTCAAGGCTCCCGCCAGCCCAGTGCAGAGCACAATGGCTAGTGGTGCCTCGGACGCAGTTCAAACTCCAACAAAGCCCATGGCGGTGTGAACTGACCGCACCTCTGCTCCCTACTGGAGGTGGGGGATGAGTCTGCACTCCCTGCTGGGCTCTCACTGGGACCACTGCCCCCAGACACAGGAGTGTGGTGTGTGCTTAATGAAGAGGCACTCTTCTGGCGGCAAATGTTTCAGAGGTATTTCAAACCGTCTCCTTTTTTAAAGGCGGGTCTAAATACAAAATTAGCTCTGCTCACTTTGATGCCATTTTATAGCTAACTCTGTGAAAAAATTTCTTATTCTAAGAAATATTAAGTATGGATGTTAACTGCTCCATAAAGCAGGATGGTCCAATAGGTTTCAGAAATGCCATATATAAAGAATCAGACATCCTCCATGCACATCAGGACATTAACGTCCTAAAGTGAAAATACAAACGCTACACGGCATTCCCACTAATCCGACAGCTGCGAGTTGCCAGGTGTGTGGGCTCTGGGGTCAGTCTGCCCAAGTCTGACTCTAAGCTCTGCGACTTGGGTGAAGGCAGCAACCTTCCAGGCGCACCCACAAGTGCACGAGACAGAGCATCGCGAGAAGAGGCTGGACGAGGAGGGAAGAGATCCAGGTTGGTCTCCAAATACTGGCTTCGCTGTGGCCACGCCAACTCCTCTCTTGAGGCCTGAATGACCCTATCTGATAAAGGAACGAGTTGGACCTAGTGAGCTCTAAGGGTCATTCAGTGATTTCAGTGAAGGTTTTAAAGATCAACTAGGTGAACGTGATATCCCGGCGGAACCTGGCTCTTTATCAGATCATCCACAGTGAGAGCGCTTCCTCTAAAATCCACTGGAGTAATGGCCCTCCTGTATCTTTCCTTCACATCAGAAGGTGAGCAGCTGCCTACGGTTACATAATTAATGCTCCTTTAAAGTACTGTCTGCAGGGCTGGAAGCCAGGAGGCAGTTGTGCGCTGGGTAAAACCAAAACCCTACTGCGATCAGTGGAAGCAGAAAGTAAATTGTATTTCCTTTACTACAAAACAGCTTTCTGCCCTAATGATAGGCTCAGGCCCACACTGCTCTGCAGGACACCGATCATAAAACTCTTCTTGGCCACAAGCTGGACCCACCTGCAGCTTCTCATCCACGTCATCATCGCTTTCGTCCAGGTCTTCGTGGAGCAGCCGCCACTCATACTCGACGTGAACGTGGGAATTAAACCTTCCAGATAAGGCCTGGGTCAGCTGAGGACGACAAAAGGCTGTCAATGATGCTGCTCGTATCCTGGGCCTTGCAAAGCGGACGTCCACCAAGATGGCCAAGAGGCAGCTGGGCGGATAGAGAACCTGTGCCCCCGTCCAAGGTCGGCTTATTTAATTCGCTGCATGTCAGGTTAAGCACCTACCTTAGTCCACAGATAACCGTGAGACTCAAACCCAGCAGCTCGCATCTAGTGCCTTGTAAGCAGGGAAGCTGCAGCCCGCAGGCCAGGGGTGCTTGCGCTCTAAAGCTTGCAATAACCCCGCCTTTCCTGACCAGCACGAGAGAATGAAGCCCTGAGGAACGTGATGTGAATGACTGTTTTCTCCAGGAAGGCAGACAGCTGGCTCCACTCGAGACGCAGAGGAGAGAAGTTAGTCCATTAGATAACTGTGTGTCTTGGCACACTAGGGGTTAATTTTCTCCAGAGCCAGATGGTCGCTGTGTAGTCTTGGGCAAGTTACTTAGCACTTCTGTAGCTGTCTCCTCATTTGTAAAACGGGGTAAGAGTAGGCACCTCCTAATTAACGTCCTAAGGTGATTTTCAGGATTAGATGAGTTAATGGACATACAGTGATAGGGTAACACCGGTTACTCATCCTGCAGCTCCACAGCATCGCCTATTGGTGGTTCTGTGCGCTGAGCACGTACCATGTGCCCCCTGCTTTACCGAGTTCAACAACAACCCCCGCAGCAACCTGGCAGACTGGCACCGCTGACTCCACTTCACAAATAAGGCAACAGCAGAGAGAGTTGGCGTGACTTTCCCAAGTCACAGGGCGGAGCCCCATGGCACACCCAGGTCTGCCGGACGCGGGCGGGCCTCTGCTCCACCCACCCAGCCAGCGTCAGGGCCACGTCCACGTGTCCCAGCAGCAACTACTGACTCAGGGTCCAGGTGTCGCTACCAGGCGGGTAGCCACCTCTCTAAAGACTCCCCAGGATGCTTTCAGCAAGCCATCCCCTTGGACACCGGGATGTGCTCAGGACGCTACCTCGGGGCTCGAAGGGCGCCCCAGGGCCTCCCCGCCCCCACCGATCGGCCGTCCACGCCAGGGACTCACCAGCTCCTCACAGTGCTCGTGCCTGAGGCGCTTGGCGATGTCCAGTGGGGTCTCTCCTGACTCGTTAGCTGAGAGGTGGGGTGGCCAAAGGACATGTTATGGCAAAAACAAGCAAAGGTCTGATATCAAGAGGCAATTTAAAAAGACAGAGCAGAGCAGCTCTAAATTACACTGAACACGACTAATGAAATCCCCTTCGTTTGCCCCAGTCGGTGCCGAACTGCCCTGTAACTGTCCAGAACAGCAGGCAGCAGCGTCTAACCAGTAAGATTTTAACAGATAAAGCTTGAGTCAATCACGAAAATAAAGCCAGTCAAGAAGCCAACTAATGTAAATAAATATCTAAAGTGTAAGTCGTGGAATGAAGCAGCTCATGATAATTCTCTAACCAAAAGTGCTGTAATCTAGTTCCGGGCATCTGACTGCAGAAGACTTTGCAGCTCCCGCTAAGAGTGTTTTCTTCTGAGTAAGCCTCAGTCAATGAGGTTTGATGACTCATTAACGAAACACAGAACAACCTGGCTCTGAAGCAGGCATCTGCCTTCTTTCCATGCTCTTTGGTCTCTTTTTAATAGTTCTGCCAAAACTCTTCCTCCAGGCCCGTGGTCTAGACTGCGCCCAGTGGCTGTGTGTCCGAGGAGCCGCCGGGGAGGGAGGATAAAGGCTGAGCAGACCGAGGGTTCCTCGTGGAGGAGGCTCGGGGCCAGTGAAAGGAGGGGCAGTGAACAGTGTCTCCCACCGGTAAACATGTCAACCCAGAGCCAGTGAGGGGTTAAGTCTGATCTCAGGTGGGAGCATGAAAAGGAGGGCGAGATGCCCACACCTGATCCACCTGGGCACCTGCGACGGCTGCCTCTCAGAACCCAGAGAATGCCTGCCTGCACGTGACGGCAAGTCTGCGGAATAGCAGAGGAGACCGCGGATAGATGAGACCGCAGCAGCCTTGCAGAACAGGCCCCTCTCCTTGCTGGGCAGGACTGACTGCCTGGCTCTGCACGGAGCCCGGGGCCTGGGCCCTTCCCACCAGCAGCTTGGGACCAGCAGGAGGAGGAGTGGGCGGCTCACCGATCCCGATGGAGGCCTTCCCCCGCAGCAGCAGCTTGAGGCACTCGGCGCTGTCGGTGAGGCAGCAGTAGTGCAGGGCCGTGCTGCCCTTCCCTGTCTGCTTGTCCAGGTTCCCACTAGCGCAGACACAGAGAGAGAGGAACAGTGAGCCACAGGCCAGAGGACTAGGGATGCCCAGGCAGGGCACTGGGCACGTGAGAAGGACAGGCAGCAAGTGATCAGAGTCACGGAGGGGAGGGGAGGGTTCAAAGTTGAAAGTTCAGAGTCCCCGGGCTCCTCTGAGCTGGCTTGCCCTGGACCGCCCTGAAAACAGGCTGAGAGGGAACCACGAGGAGACAAAGGTTCTTCCAACACAGAACAAGACCAGGTGATCCCGAGACAAGCCACTCAAGCCACTGGTGGAGGCAGCCCTGGGACTGCGGCCTCCGTCACATTCTGGGGATGGACAGCATGAGGGGACACCAGAGTGACCATCAGGTGACACCCATTGCTCTCATAAGGAGGAAACCAGCTATGCTTCCTTTTTTTTTTAAAGCAACTAACTTTTCAGTGTAAAAAGGAGCCTCCTTTCTGATTTCTCCTCTACTCTTGCTTCCATCTGTTAGAAAAGAAACCAGGATGTCCCTTCTCCTGTCTGAGAACTTGCACAGAGGGGGACAGCACCACTCAGGGGCGCTGAGCCCCTGCCACGCTCCAGGCACTGGGCAGGCACTCAGGCTCCACCAGGGGACAGGGTGGTCTGAGCAGCTGCCCTCAGATGTCCAGTGAACTCTCGGCTCCTAAGGAGCTGACTGCCTCCCGAGCTCCTCTCCCTCTGGCCACATCTTCACACCTCCCCCCAGGAACGGGAGGGAAAGGCAGAAGACACCAAGTGCAAAAGACCCCCTTGTTTTGCATGTTGGAATCTTCCGTCTGGAGCAATCTCCATGGCTTTTAACCAGTACCTCCCCTACTCCAGCCGCGCCCCCCCAAACCTAATCAGGGCGCCAAGATACACCTCAATGGGTCTTCGTGACTGGCCTTCTGCACCAGGCAGGCACCATACCCAAGTGAGGCCAAACGTACCAAATGGGACTACTGGGGCCAGGGGACACTGCCCCCGCATGTCTTCTCTAAAGCCAACTTCTAATTAAAATTACAGCTTCTCCAACCAAGCAAAACGCCCACAGCCCAGTGTTGTGATTTACAGTCTAGGTCCCGCCAGCAGCTACAGCTCAGATCTTTGCTTCCCTCCCTCCCCTCCCTCTGCTCCGGGGGCCCTGCCCGGATCCCGTGGGACACCCACCTCACAGGACAAGCCCAGGGCTGTGCACAGGGCAGTTGTGGGGGCCACAGACAGTAGCCACTTTCTAGGGGCTGAGAATTTAGCAGACCTATCGACGTGGCATCTCACTGAGTCCAAGACACTAGAAGCCGGACACCGCAGATCCCAGGACGGGTCTCCCTCCTCAGACCCCAGGACTTCCTCAGGACTGCACTGAACACCCCACACCTAGCAGCACTTTTCTTGTCCCGTAATTCATATCCAACCTGGGGCAATTCCGGCACCTTGGCCGCAAGACGGAAGCAGTGAGGCAGCCCCTGGTTCCCTCCTCAGGAACACTAAGGGGACAAAATCAAATACCTCCCCTAATTTCAGCACACCTACCTGTTCTGAACTAAGAAGTCCACAATGTGAAGAGAAGTCCGGTCCACGGATCTGACGGCAAGATGGAGGGCAGTTTCATCTGGCTCCTGAAGACCAAACAGAAACATTCCAGAATTCCAAGGGGAGCACTCAGTTTTGTGTCCAACAGGAGTGAAATCGTGTATTTGCAAAGTCTTCTTCCAAAAGTCTCTTAAGTCTTTCCTTCAAAAAACATATCTCTAAGATACCCAGGGCCCCCTTTAATCAACATGGCAAACTCTGCCCTTAGGAATCTGCAAAGTTCGTTGCAAAGTTCCCCCACTCTTTCTGTCCCTGAATCAGCAACAAGAGGTGCTGCCTGTACGCAGTGGTCTCCGTTCAGACTCCAGGAAGGTTCCCCGGGCCTCTTACCTGCTCCCTGGATAAATAAAAGTGTACATTTTTACTACAAGGTTAAAGCTTCTCATTCTGTATTTTACAGTATCCAAGTATCAGTGCTAACACCTGGCCTGTCTGCAACTCACACGAAGGAGGAGAGGACCGCCACTGCCTTTTCTGAAACTAAGTTTTGGCAGGCGGGGGAGAGGAGACAAAACGAGGGCTGTTTCGGGTGGGTGGGTGAGAGAGATGGAGGCCGAGGAAAGACCCACAGAGCAGGGGGCACAGGGGCAGAGAGAGGCCCTCCGCCCGGACCTGCCCTGCCTGCTCGCCGGCCCGGGCCAGCCCTCGTCCCCCCACAGTACCGCTTGGAGTGGAGCATGCTTGGCCCTGGGCGCCACGGCTGGGGTTCCTCGACTTAGTCTCCATCACTGAACGCTGAGGCTCCACACAGCATGCTCAGCTGCTAAGGGTGACCCCAGCCCTATGTGTGTCCACGAGCGCACCCGGGGAAGAGAATGAGGACACGCATGGGCCGTGACACCAGGGATTTCCTGTGGACTGGCCCTGCCTGTGAGAGCCCACCTTCTCGGCAAAGCTCCCCCAGGGAGGAGGGCAAGGGGGGCAGCTGTGCACCAGGCCCAGTTTGAGTCTCCTTCCCGGCGTGGCCTCGGGAGCTGCAGCTGAGGCTTGGTTGCCAGCTCCCCATGGGCCCGGGAGGTGCTCGTGCTGCCCTCGGCAGACAGGGCTTCTCTCCAGGGCGTGGGCCTCTGAGAAGACGCTCCTTCCCCCATGGATGGCTTCTTCCCAGAGCTGCCACCCATTTTTTGGTCTAAGAATCAGCCCTAATTTCTTCCCCAGAGCTCACTGCCATCTGTCAGGGAAATGACACTACTCAGCACTTCCGGTAACATTGCCTTGCCTCTCCAAGCCCAACCCCTTTCTTTCACTTTTTCACGTCTCTTCTTACATGTCCGTTGGCCAGTGGGATTTTTTCTGTGAGATCCACACCATCAGCGTACGCTTGGAGTAATCCAAAAATATCCCTTGTTTTGACGGCCTCACAAAGGCTGTGAAGCTTTGCTGCGTTATCCGCGTGTTTTTTCCTTGCGTATTTCCTCTCAATGTACTTGGCAGTGATGTAGTCCTTTCTTGCGTTCCTGAAATCACACAGTTGCCTTGTGAATAATTAAGGGCCTCTATTCAAGCATACTCAGAATATCTATTCAGCTATAACTACTTAAAAAAAAATCCTGCCCCGCTCTCCTTGTAATAAGAAGCACCAGCAGGAAAGCGGGAAGCAGGCGCCCCATGGCTCCCCCACAGCACCTGTAGTCACTCTGCCACCTCCTGTCCTTTCAAGAGGCTGGAAACCCTCAGGTGCCAAGACAAGTGGCATCAGGGCCCAGGTGTAAGGCCAAGTGGCCAGGTCGAGGGGCTAGAAACCTCTGGCTGATTCAGGACAGGGCATGTGACCAGCCAGTCCAACCAGAAAGAAAATCAAGACTTTGGCTATGACTGCTAAGAAGAGATTCTCCCTCTGTATGGTAAATTATTTCTCTCTCTCCATGGCCTCAAGGACAGTAGTTATTCCTGACTACAAAGAAGCCAGACACAGGATGAAGCTGGTACCAAGGAAGGCAGAGAGATGAAAACAAATTTTGTCCTCGGTTTTGAGAGGAAGACTGTCCTCTTGTTTGTGGGCACCGTGCCTGGCAGGCAGGCTCACCACAGGCCCATGAACCAAACGAGCTGTCTGCCTGTCTTCGTGGTCTATTTCCTGGCCTTCACACGGCATTGCGTTTGCAGACCCCACCTCTCCAAGGAGCTTGAAGTGGCAGCCATTCCAAGGGACCCAAAGCAGCCCAGGCTCAAATCCCACCCCCGCCGCAGAGTGACGAGCGACCCTGGGCGAGGATGCAGTCTCTTCAGGCCTCAAGTCTTCTTATCTGTGCAAATATGCACCTACACCCTCAGGGACTGTGAGAAGCCCAAGAGCTGACATGTTTTCTGAGCTCACAGCAGGTCCTTAGGACCTGGGAAAGTACTGATGAACTTGGAAGACGGGGAGCAAGGAGAAGAGCAGCTCCTGGCCTGGAGGACTCTGCCTTTTATTCCACGGAAATTTAACAAACAGCAGCAACAACAATAAAAAATCAACACGACTTCTGAGGGGCAGTAAACGCTGCTTATGACAAGGCATGAGTTTCAAAGAACAACCCAGCAAACACCAGGAACTAAACTGCCTACAACTCAACTCAAAAACAAA